TTTCAGTTCAGTTACTGTTTTTCTTCTACTTTTCCGTGTTCTGTTTAAATAAAATGAGTAAACGCCTCCTAATGTTAACGATCAAATCCTAGGCAATATGTCCTTCAACACGTCATATGTCATCGGATCTAATGCAATTATACACATAAATAAACAAAAATTTCCTGTTTCTCCATCCCTTTAAAAAGCTAAGCGCATACTAACACCAAATCATCGCTAATAAACCCATTTTCAGTCAAGGGTCAGTGAATCGAAGATGAACCATACTTGTTATTTGATAGAAATTTATAATTTAGAATATTACTATCAAATGTTAATGATACTGATAAATTAACTGTCGATTCAGTAAAATTTCTTTGAATTAAGACATCCATGTCAGAAACATAAATTTTTTCATAAAAATCGATATTGAGCTAAGCAGATCATCAGATAGCCCACAGTATTTACTATCATGATCAAATGTTATTTGGCCCTCATCGGAGGGTTATGAAGACTTTTAGAAAGTTTTCTGAAAATCTTGAAAAGCTGATTTTTCGAAAAGGTTTTACTTTCTGATTAAAAGCAAATCAAAAATTACTTTTAGTAACATCAGAAAATAGAGCAAACATTTCTGATCAAAATGAGATATCTCCCAGCTCTGAATGATGTTCTAATTTCAGAGTTATGAGAGTTTTACTGAAAGCTCTAATATTTGCATCAGATACTGACACTACCATATTTCGAAAGCAACTTTCACCTTAACACCATTTCGTGGCGCTCACATTTCTCAGTAATAAAACATCGTAGAGAGCTGTCTGCGAATATTTTTAATATCTTTCTTGCAACATTTTCTGCATAACATACTTTCTTATTCTACTAGGTTTCAACATTGTCCGTCGAATCATAATTGCTTTTCTGTTGATGAATTAATTAGACTTGTTTTCTAATAACTAAACAACGATGGCGTTAAAATTACTGATGCTTAAAATGAAAACTTAACACTATGTATATAAACCATCTGCTTTTCTCAAACGTTTATCTAGATGAAACTGGTTCTTCTTCACTTTTTTCTGCTTAATCTTCAATTCAACACTGAAAAACACGCTTTTCATTAGAGTAAGAGGACAAAGCAGTTTTTTTCTCAAAATTCTCAATACATGAAATGTTGAACAAGTTATTTGAATCAGTATAGCAGATCAAAATTTTTCGTGACCCTCAGCTTCCTTAGCAAATAAGAGAACAATAATCCGTAATCTAAGGCTGTTACTGTTTGATAGAGATGAGTACTAACGAGCAAAGCTGGAGCCGGTCCGTTTGAAAAGTCAACCGGGCTGGTAGAGATCGATATTTTACCGGTTGAAACTTTTGAAACATCTGCTCTTTTTACCCAGTTTTTTGTCAACAAAACTAAAATGTCATGTCTTTTTCAGTCAGAATAAATGAGACGATGCTCAAGACAGATATTATTTTCATCACTTGTTTTAAGGTTAAATATTATAGACTCGTTATTGTGAACGTTCTCTCACATGTGTTCGCAAACTACTTCATTTGTGGGGGAAATTCTTTCTCGAAATCGATTTTCAAAAAGCTTCGCCAGGTTTTCGCCGATATGAGCTATAATTCCAACCGACCGGACCGGATCGGTTTATCTTTTCTTTGCTCGATGACTGTCATTAATTTATTTCAAAGACAAAACGATGAATAACTCTAATCCTGAACAGAAGGATTTATATCCAAAACTGAAACACTATTTAAAAACACTCAATCTATTTAAATCCTATCCACCGTCATCTGAACAACATGATTTGAATAATGAATTAATATCGACACGTTGTTATATTTTTTTACTAATTATATCACTCATTGCTCTTATTCTGTATAGATCATTAATACCAACAACGACTACAAACCAATTTAATTCACTCTATAATGAAAATTCACAAACATTGACATGTCTATGTTCAACGGTATCAATTGCTTATGGTACACTTACATGAAATTGCAACCAAATTATCATCAAGTATGTTCAAGTGATTTTGTATCAGGTAGATGGTTTGATTATATCATCAATAGTAGAGTTAATGATAATATTCTACCTGTATGTGAGTCAAATATGTAACAACCAATAAACATGCCTCGAATAATAAAATCGATTCTAGCAGTCTCATAATCATAGGTGGCTGAAGGTTGTATACAACATGATTTATTATTGCATGAATAAATATTAGTATCATTATACTCAACTGGAATGATTTTTACGTAAGGAGGATCGACAAACAAAACATAATTGGTAGATAATGTCGACCATAAAGCCGAACTTTGTGTTGTACGTTGTATCAGTTCTAATGCTCTTAAAAATGTATTTTTGGTGTTGACTTGAAATTTATTAATATTGCTTTAAGTTTCTACTTCAAATAATTGTCTTGAAATAACAGTTGAACTAATGTAATTTGTTAAATAAAACACCATTAGAGCATTCTTTATTGTTAAATTTATTAATTGACACAATGACTGTAACATTTGAAATTGATTTGAGCCTGTATAATGAAAATCTGTTGTATAGACATTATTATTTTTGGTCCAACTCTGAACATATTTGAACCATTTATCCATTACGAAATGTGATGAGCATATTTGATGATACGTTGGATAAAAATGTATAAATATCTCAAATGGAATGGCGAGCGTTGAACATGGACACAATAATGTTTGAGAATAATTTTTATAGAGTTGTGTATACATATCGATCGATGGTGACTTAATAGTAACAGTTTGTGTTACAGGGAAAAATGACATGTAGAACATAAGAACCGTGACTGATACAATTAATAGTGCAGTATAACAATATGTTGATATTAATTCATTTTGAATATCATGCTCATCTGTTGGTCGTGGAATTGATTTGAATAAATTAAACGATTTGAGAAGTTCTTGCATATCTTGATACAACTGACGCAAGCGTTCTATGCACGAAGAAAAATAATGTCAAGAAGAAAAGTGCTTCAGTCATTTAGACTTAGTCATTCAATTGTGAATGTCTTCTATCTACTATTCAATCACAGAAAACTATGTATTTTTAAGTACTTTTATAAATGAAAACCCAATGCCTTCCCTAGACAAACATTTTTCGCTATTTCTGAAAAGAATCTTATCCGAGTCTTATCGAATTCTTACATAAGAAGTCCACACGAAAATGGCAAGAATTTCGTACGAATTTGATAGGAATCAGGTAAGATTTAAATAAGAATCAGCTATTATGACTTTGATAAGACGCTCTTATCATCTCCTTATGAAATTCTTACTAAAAGCCAATCCTCGTTTTATTTTGCAGAAGCACATAATAATAAGCACCAGTGATTTCTTAAAAATGTTTTCAAAGTTTCTTCAAGATAGGTAAGACTGGTCGTTTTGAAAATGCCTCGCGACCTCTTACCCACTCACTAATGAACTATGCAGTTAACTAAAGAAGGAAAAAAACATTGGAAGTTTTTGTCAGTTCTTGCCGTTTTCTTGTCGAATACTTACAGGATTCTTAATGGATCCTTATCTACTTTTATTAAATTCTTGTCAGTTTCGTGCGGACTTTTTATGTAAGAATTCAACAAGAATCTAATAAGATTCTTATACGAGTCATATCGGATTCTTTTAAGTTCCTTATCAGATTCCTGTCAGATTATTTTGTAAGTATCGATCACTAGGGTTCCTCATCATTTAGTAACTGAGCAAAACAAGCGCATTTAGCAAGTTGAAAAACTGATTGAGCTTGTTTAAAATAAACTGTACAAAATGAGTCATTTTATTTAGTTCTTCATGTTTTTCCGTTTAGGATAAATGAATTTGAAATTTGAATCTCCTTTAAATAAAAAATGAGTTTTCAAAGTTTTGTAGTCAACTTTATTAAATTAAATTTTCATATGTAAAAAATGGAAATTTATGGTATATAGAAATAATGGTATATAGTCATGCAAGTAATTCAGATTATAGAGAAGAACACCAAGTATTAAAGTCAATTATGACCCAAGCAAAAAAATGCCTTTGAGATTATCTAGATATAAAAATATGTTATCGGGCAATATCGGCTTGTGATAGCTAGCTATCCGTACTACTTTTATTGAGTTAGCTAGCTATATCGAGTATGATAGCTAGCGACTAGATATCGTACCCGATATATCGGGTTGACGTAAAACACTGATTAGAGTAGCTATTTAGTCGATATATTGATCGATTATTGCCCGATATATTGTGGACAATGTCTGATGCCACTGCGTCACTAGCTATGAAAGTAGATATATTGACCAAT